TTTCTTTTTGACTTTACGACTTTGTTATATAATCTCGACTTTAATTTTTAATTTAATTGAGATTTTAATATATCAAAAAAATTAATAAATTTCAATATTACTTATTACGAATGAAATTAGTGAGATTAGACTGATTAGTAATTAACATATTAGTTGATATGTTTACCAAAAAATATAAATGAGCATACTTATAATTATTTTCTTATGAATATGCTTTTATTTCTTGAACTATATGTTAACAAAAAGATAATTTCATATTTTTAAGGGGGTAACGTTTGAGAGTATTATTATTGTTTCTATTTACTATATTATCTGATCATGTGAAAAATAATATATAAAATTTATAAAAAATATATTTGTTAAAATTGTCGTTTTCTTAAAAAACAATGTACGCCTTTTGACTAGTGTTTTTGGTTTTTCTTTTTTTTTTATTGGAGTGATTTTTTAAAGAAATAATCAGTAAATATTTTTAAATAATGGCGGGTTGGTCATTGACCGAGGTTTTATTTGACCGAAGAGGGGACAACACTTCGATTTTGCCATTGCAGAGTTGAAGGAAAAGTGGAGAAGATGCAGAAGAAGATAGCAAGAAGATTTGAAGGCAAAGTTGCAATCGTGACTGCTTCGACTCAAGGCATCGGTTTCGGCATCGCCGAGCGGCTTGCTTTGGAAGGTGCCTCCGTCGTCATCTCTTCCCGCAAGCAGGTTCTGCCGTTCTGATCTGATAAAAATCTTTCTACCCTTTGATCTGTTCTTTATATATTCAAAGGTTTAATCAGATGGCTTACATGCAACATCACAACCATTTGCCGAGTGAGACTTTGTAAATGATCGTGATGTGATCTGTGAATTGTAATAAGATTCTTTTTTGGCCTTTCACTTGTTTGTAGTGTTTCTGCTGCGAGGTGATGTTTTTCTTGCGAAACAAACAGAAAATTCATATGATAATAGTGATTTGCTTCAATTGTTTCCTGTTTGATTTGTTTTGAATCTACCTGTAGAAAAACGTGGATGAGGCAGTTGGAAAGCTTAAAGCTAAAGGCATACATGTTTTTGGGGTCGTTTGTCATGTTTCCAATGCGCAGCAAAGGAAGAATCTGATAAACAAGACTGTTGAGGTTAGTCAGTGAAAATCTTGGATTGTAATACGATCAGTGACTATGAAAAATAAGCTAAACTTGAGAATTTGAACATTTTCCCTTTGATATGATAATCATAATATGCCATTTTTATGAGATGGTGGATTTGGTTTCAGAAATATGGAAAAATAGATGTGATTGTATCAAATGCTGCTGTAAATCCGGTTAACATACCCATGCTGCAAACCCAAGAATCTATCCTCGACAAGCTATGGGAGACAAACGTCAAAGCATCCATACTTCTTCTGCAGGTAATTGACTCCTCTGAAGGAAGATTAATGTCCGAAACAAATGAAAAATAGTTAAAGTAAAACTGATGTTGTTGCATGATCTGGCTATTCTTTGACACATTTTGCATCAAAACCATAGCTTAACGCTCATAGTTTACAGCAGGGTCACTTTCCTGAATCTGGTTTTGTTTGACTTGACAAGTTTGGAAAGTTCATAGCCTGTTTCCTTGTGCAATGCAGGATGCAGCTCCTCATTTGCAGAAAGGTTCGTCGGTTATATTTGTTTCATCACTTGGTGGATATCAACCGCAGCCTTCCATGGCAATGTATGGGGTTACCAAGACAGCCCTTCTTGGCCTTACCAAGGTTAGTATATTCAAAAGAATTCCACAAGTTTTTCTGGGATGTTCTGTTCTTCTTATAGTCTCCCTTCCTCTCCATCCCCTTTTTCCAGGCTCTCGCTGCTGAGATGGCCCCCGATATTCGTGTAAATTGTGTTGCCCCTGGTTTCGTACCCACCCGCTTTGCAGCATACATCACGGCAAACGAGACCACAGTAAGTAATATTAAAAGCTGGCATCTTTTGTTCTGCCTCCAATCTTGATCTGAAACCTGGAATTTGGACTTTGTTGCAGAGGAAGGCCTTTGAGAAGATTACTTTACTTAACAGGCTTGGCACCCCGAAAGAAATAGCTGCTGCAACTGCTTTCTTGGCTTCGGATGATGCTTCTTATATTACAGGAGAAACTTTGATTGTTGCAGGAGGAACCCCCTCTAGACTGTAGTTAATTACCTCTTCGTTGTTACTCTCGCTCCCTCCTTTATCAAATCCTCCTTTATCCTTTAAATCCCTGTATTCAGTGTGCTATTCCTATTACAAACATTTGGCTTATTACCCTTTGAAGTGGAACAACTTCAAAGCAAGATTAATAAATGCTGGATCATTTCCCTTTTTTTTCTTTTACTATATTAGAATTAAAGCATGAACATTAAAAAATTTCCTTACTTTATTCAACTAAATTCTTCAATTTTCTTTAATTATTAACTACAATATGGTAGTCCACATTTTATATTTATATGACGTATAATCTAATAAGTTGATACAATCATATAATAATCGGTGAGTTATGTGACGGTCCATGAGATTAAATGCGTCCATGGGATTAAATGTATCCATTATATCAATTATAAAAATATCAATTAACATTTCATTTAAGATTATCTATTTTTCATTAAAATTTATTTTTTATTTAAATACAAATAAAAAATTAAGTGCCGTAGCAAATATTTTTATTCTTTAATCATATAAATACATATAAAATTCTAAAATTTTTAATAATAAAATTGTTTTTATTAAGTTTTTTTTTAAATGAAAAAAAGCTGTATTATTATTTTGTTTTCCGTAATTTCTATAATATCTGTTTTTTATTTTTTAATTTTTTCAACTATTTTAAATGTTCTTAATTACGTGTACCTAAGTTTATTAATACTGCAAAAGCCGAGGTATGAGGGAAGTAAAGGTCAAGGTAAGAGGACAACTCTTCTTGGAAATGAAGACGACGGAGATGATCGGTAGGCGGAGGTTCGAAGGCAAAGTCGCGATTGTGACTGCGTCTACTCAAGGCATCGGCTTGGCAATCGCCGAGCGTCTTGGCATAGAAGGGGCCTCCGTCGTCATCTCTTCTCGCAAACAGGTTTCCTTTTTGGTTTTTTTTTTTTTAATTTCTCCCAAGCTGGAGCTTTTTTAATCGTTGACTTTGTTCTCTCGTTCTAAGAGCATCAGGTTTCGATCTCTTTTGCCTTGAAAAAATGAATCTTTCATGAATTTTGGGTTTGGAATGTGAGGATGGGTGTTTATGCTTTTTGGTCTGCTTGTAGAAAAACGTGGATGAGGCAGTTGAAAAGCTTAAGAAGAAAGGGATTCAAGTGTTGGGTGTGGTTTGTCATGTGTCAAATGCACAACAGAGGAAGGATTTTATTCGAAAGACTGTTGAGGTTAGTTTTTGATCCTATGTTTTTCTGTTACTTAATAACACAAAGTTAATCATTTCCTTCCGTACGATTCTCTTCTGAAATTGGAAATGAAGAAATGCAATCCAATAGTAAAGTTCAACAGTGAGTCTGTTTATATACAAGGAACAATTTTTTTTTGAAAGGTTGTAGTGGGAACTTCTTTAATTTAAGAGTTGCTGGTTTTGTTTCAGAAATATGGGAAGATAGATGTGGTTGTATCAAATGCTGCTGTAAATCCAACGGTAGATCCATTGTTGCAAACCCAAGAATCTATCCTTGACAAGTTATGGGAAACAAACGTGAAAGCAACTGTGCTTCTTCTACAGGTAAAGCACTTTGGGTGAAGATTAATGTTAGGAAATAAATGAACGCATGCTTTAGGGTAGCATATATTGATCTACATTTTATTGTGATTAGATTGTTGGTGGTGCATCGTCTGGCTATACCATAGTTTGCCATAGCGATTTACTGGGCCATTTTTCCAGAATCTGTATTTGTTAAACTTTGACATGTATACGAGGAAGGCCATGACTACTTCCTTATATATTGCAGGAGGCAGCTCCACACTTGCAGAAAGGTTCATCAGTTGTTCTTATTTCCTCAATTGCTGGCTTTCATCCGCAGTCTACCATGGCTATGTATGGAGTAACTAAGACAGCCCTTCTCGGGCTGACCAAGGTTGGTATTCTGGTCCATTCCATTATATGCTATGAATTCTGCAAACCATCAACTCTTTTTCATCTTCTAAGCATTACCTGAAGATATTTTAGGCCCTTGCAGCTGAGATGGCCCCTGATACTCGTGTAAATTGTGTTGCTCCTGGTTTTGTTCCAACCCACTTTGCAGCATACATCACAAAAGATGAGGTTGTGGTAAGTGAATATGTGACTTCTACTTTGGGCTCCTCTTGCCGAATTGATGTCATTTGTCTGTCTTGTCATGGACTGAATTTGAAATTGAAACGTTGCAGAGGAAGGCTGCTGAGGATCAGACGCTACTTCAAAGGCTTGGTACCCGGGAAGACATGGCTGCCGCAACTGCTTTCTTGGCATCCGATGATGCTTCTTATATTACAGGAGAAAATCTTGTGGTGGCAGGGGGTATCCCCTCTAGACTTTAGTGTACCTTTCTTTGTTGTAATGCCACCCCTTTCCTTTGTTTTCAAAAATAATAAGCTATGCTAATACAGACCTCCCTCATCCAAGCTTGATACATGTAGTTGGTTAGCTATTCCCATTACAAGAATTGCCGACTTCACTGGCAAAACTTTGATACAAAGATCTATAAATTCAGAAGTTCTCGTCTTTAATTTATTTACTAGAGTCGAACTTGAGTTGTAACCTTTGCAAATGAAAAGTTCCATAGTTCTTTTTTTCTTAAAATGTAAGTAAAGTTAAACGCCTGTGATCATGATGGTATCCAAAGAAACAATGGAAACTGGCACAGCAGTCTTTTCCTTAGGCACTTGGGTGTCTGCCCCCGTGGAACCCTGAGCCTTGAGATTTCATTGCAGTCAAGGGAGAAGGAAGCACTTTACACAAGATGTCAAATCAGCCGAGGAATATCTTAGAATAATATTTAGCATATATACCATGAACAGCGGGAGAATTCTTGTATCTGTTGCAATATTAGCATCTATACCATGTAATTTATCAACACTGCACATGATTCAAGTGAAAAACAGTTAAAAACTCAAAAGACAAAATTTTTACAGAGGCTATAAAGAAACCAACCATTTCTGAACCCCTTAAGGGTTCCTCTGCAACTTATGTACATTAACTCAAACTCATGGATCTTCACAATACAACATATTCTAGCTTCAGGCAAAAGAAAACCCTTACTTCCCCTAATGTAACTCAGTCATAATGCTGAGGCACGCTGATTTAGGAGTAGATTATCCTTGATTATGATGGGATTCCAGTCTTGCTGTTCTGTGTCTTCTACCCCATTTGCATGCACTTGATTAGCAGGAACAGGAAGACGGTAATATGGCATTGTGATATTCCCACCTTTTTCCATCACTAACAGTATTTACTTTTGGCATCCAGTTGCAAATAAAAACTAATTCGAAATGGGATGTAACTACACAGGGACAACATCATCATTCTGATTATCATCACATGTAAATATAAGACCGTCAACATATGTTGGGAGGAGGCACTGGCTCCACTGACAGCCTGTTGAGATAGGTTCTGATGGTGGAACAATCATGAGTACATTATCATGGCGTCGGACAACCCCCATCACACTTACAGTGCTCCCTTCTTTTATGTAACTGTGTCACAACAAAAGTCCTCTTATCAGCACAGAACTGAAATTATACTCAGATGTTTCAAGAGGCTTCAATAAATGGAATCATTAATTTCCATATTCTTGAAAGCTAAAGTCTACAAATCCCACAAAGATACAACTGAGGTGCAGAAAAAATCAACATGATACTACAAGCAGAACAATAAAAGGCATACCCCTCCGTTAGGCGCATTATACGGTCATCACTAGAGAGATTGCGCTCTGCTAGCCAGCGTAAAAAGCTTGGAGATAAGTCCCTGTTTTCCTTTGTTATATCAGCTACAGTTTCTGGTTTGACAAATGGAGCAACCTTAGCTCCATAGCCTGCTTTGACTAATGCTCTTAATCCAGATTGGAAGTCTGATATGTAAAAATCAGCAACGTATTTCTGTTCACAATAAAAAAGTTGCCTAAGAGAAAACTCACTCAGAAGCAACGTTTCTGAGTTTGCCAAACATGACTGATAAAGATTCTGAAGATTTTTCTAAGACAAAACAAATACCTCAGAATGTCTACATCCCCAGGAGAAGCAATGATGTTTAGGGTTTGCGGATTTACCACCACATCCTTTATACTCGTACAATTCTGTGGAAACGTATACACATCTGGGCACCCTCTGGTAAGATGACTCCAAAGGAATGCTGCCACAGGTGACAACCTGCAATAAGAGTTGTGATTTAATTAAACCTAGAGCCAATCAATATATAAGATATAAATACTTAAGTGTCTAATTATTGCACCATCAATTTCAGGTTTCATCCTTTATTTCTTCTTTAAAACCAAGTAAGAAAACCACTCCAATTCGAAGTAGACAAACACCAAAACAACAAGACAATTGCAGATGTTAATGGTATTCATAGGTTTCCAATGCCAATATGTGCAGTTCCCCACAGGCAATGCTGTACCCTACCAGTGCATTTGGCATGTGAAGCATGCCTTCCCACGAGCCTATGATCATGTGCACATGGGTAACTCCTAATTAATGATCATGAGCGTTGGAAAGGCAGAACCATAACTACCCCATCTTAAGCTGAGTAAACCAATCATTGCTACTATATTGCAAAAAATAAATGCCTCGCGATCGGAATTACCAGCAGTATATCAATTAGCTATACTTGGTTCAGCATGGTACTCGAATAAAGGTCATATGACATCTTTAGAATCAAGGAACAGCCAACTGGTTCGCTCAGTATGCTGCATAACCAAGATTTTACTAGAACGACAGGTAGAATAAAACAACCATTTACCCCACCAATATTCAAATTTAGAGATCATGTATGCCACACCATCCAGAGATTTCCTCTCAGCTATAGGAACAAGGGCCTTTGTTTGCAGAACAAAAAAGATAGTTAGACACCCACATTTAGTATTCTCACCTAAAATCCCATGATTAAAAGTAACTTAAACAAATACCGAACCCAATCCAAACATCAAATCGTTAACTCATCTAACAAAAGAAAAACCAACCCACCCCCTCCCCCGACAATAATGACAAATATGAATTACCATATCAGACATTTATCTAAACGGCAATTAAAATGACAAATCAACACGCATCAATTAATGCCGAATATGTATAGAGCAGCTTTCAGTTTCCACAAATAGACATAAAGAGTAAACCAAAATATAATTTAGTAAAAATTTTACCCCGTAACTTTCACGTATTGGCCATCAACAGCACCTCTAAGCTCAGCATCCGGGTACCTCCTCACGTACCCCACCAGCCTTTCCTTCCCCAAATACAATTCCAAACTATCCCAAACCCAGGGGCGCCACCACCGCACCAACCGCCCCAAGAACCACAACCTTCTTCACTGCCACCATCAGAAACGCCCCCACCAACAGCCCCATCACCACCACCACCATCACCACCCAAACCACTGCCTTCGACACCCTAAATCCAAACCTCATCCCTTCCCCGAGACTCGTCACCCCCGGCCCGTACCCTGCTTTCCCCGACGCAGCAACCGCTTGCTCGGCCTGGCCGAGCTGCCCCGACCTCCTGGGACCCGAGCTGAGAGGACCTGAGGTGATGAGCCCGGTAGGCTGAAGGGGCATGGGCCCGGAGGACTTCCTGATCGGGCCTGAGTTGGACCCAGATCGGACGGATCCACTGTTGGGCTGAGAAGAAGAGGAAGTACGTGAAGGTTGCACAAGTTGCTGTTGCTGCTTGGAGTTGGGATTCGAAGAAGGTCCGTTGGATGAGGACTGATCAAGCACTGGGATGTCGAACATTTTGCCTAACTCCCCGGATTTTTTAACGTCACGCCTGTGTACGGTACTGCCCGCAACGACATTGTCGGTTGCCTCTCTTTCAGCTGCTCCGGCCTGCCCGACACCACCAGCCCATTGCTCAGCTGGTGAGACTGAATACGAGAACCCATTCTTTCCCCTTTTCTTTTTATTTATCTTTGCTATAACAACAAACACAGTGAAGAGAGAGAGAGAGAGAGAGAGCGAGAAAGAGCTTGGGGAGTTGCAGAGAGAGTGGAGAGTGATGGGAGTTAGAGTAGGAGTATTGGGGAGTGGGAGCAAGATGAAATGACAAAAACGAGTAAGCAGAAACGCAATAATGACATGTGCGTCCTTTTCTCTTTGAAATGGCGGTGCGCCGTTCGCTGTTTGAGGTTTTCGGGAGGATTGATGTGCCACGGCCCGCGGGTCCACAGCCTTTACTAATTCTTTTTTTGGCTTTGTGAATTTACCTTTCCATCCTTATCCTCTAGAAAGAAGTTCGATGGCTCCTCTCCCATTACCATCCTGTTCTGGTACGGGATTATTTCCTCCTCCTTAAAAATATTTACTCGATACGTTGTATAGCGCTTACGTTTATACTTACTTGATGTAGGTTGAAGTACAAGATCTCTTACTTACTCCATGTGATATTTTAATTTTTTAAAAACGTTTAACACGATAATTACATCATAAATTATATTATTTTATCAATTTTTTTGTTTGTAAAATCTTAAATTGCAAAATTATTCATTTGTATTTGAATATGACAAATGTGTAGGTATTAATTAATTTTTAGATATTTGTATTTGACTATGATTATAACATTTAATATTTATATTATACTCAAACTTGATTTGTAATAACTTATTAAAATTCGAAATTGTTTATTTATGTTAAAGTGATGAGTTATCTACTATAGACTCTTCACTCAAATTAAATAATAAAAATAAATTTTAATTATTTTTATGTGTTTTATTACTCAAAATTAAATTAAAAAATTCAAAATAAATTCAATATTTAGGCCATTTATAAATTGAAATAAATAATTTATCAATTATAAGTAATTATAAGTAATATGTATACTAAAAATTGAAATAAATATTAAAAAATTTATTATCTATAATGGAATTCATACTAAATATTTATTCACTCTATTCATTACCATCCTTGAGAAGGAGACAAGATTATAAAGTGATAATGAATGGTATGTAAATAAGAATTCAAAACAAAGTGAAAACATTTAAGTAGAATTAAGTTATTATTGAATTCGGATCGAATTTAATTTTAGATGTTATCATAAATATAATTTTTAAATAAATAAATGAGTTTGAGTTTGATTATGAATAAATAAACGAGTTTGAGTTTTAATCAAATTTTTATAAGATATTATTTATTCGGATATAATAAAATACAAAAATTAAATTTTATATAATAAAATTTAAATACAATTACCTTATCTTGGGCATGACTACAAGAGCGGTAAAATTGCCTGAAAAAGCGGAGTAATGGCGGTTATCATGTGTCGCAGTCAAATCGGTGAGCACTGGTCCCACTCAAGAAAGGTTGGCGATGAAGTTGATTGGGTCCTACAGCCTAGATCTTCTCTTGCCAGAAGATCTGCTGGACTGTATCATTTCTTTCCGCACAATCATTGAACGGTTAGGATAATCCAATCACAATCAGGACCCCCAAGTCTTAATTTTGGCAAGCTTAAGCCGGGTCCACCTCCTCCTGCCCACTTGCATCGCATCACTGCCACCGCTCGAGTCTACTAGTACGAGATCTACCCAATCACTTCCGAAAAATAAAGTCCATTTTACTTGTCTAGTTATACAACATTACACTTTTCCCCTAAAATATTTTTTTCTCCAATTTCAAATGCTCATTTTTTTTTTCAATTTTAGAAAAATTTAAGATAAAAATATTTAATTTTAAAAAACAATAAATTAAAAAATTAGACGAAATAAGCATTAGCATATTTTATGTTAAAAAATAAAATTTTCAATATATGTATCTCTAATTATCTATAATTGTAATACGAAGTTCCTAAAATTTAGTAATAGTTTGCTTGATAGACAAATGGTACATACCCAAAATTATATTTAGCGACGGTAGTCACAAATTAAATAGTCGGTATAGAGTTTGTTAGAGAAAAACCAGGTGGATGGGCTAGTTCCGGATGGTCTCTATTTGGTTTTCGGGTTTGATGTTTTAGCGACGATCTTGCACGAAGGGAATCGTTAAGGGAGAAATACGGCAATTCACTCTTCACACTCGTCGGTACTGATGCAGACGGGCATCCAAGGTCTACGAGAAGATTGTTGCGTAAGGACAAAAGCATACTTGGAAATTCAACAAAAAAAAAAATTTAAGTTTCCTTGCTTGTTAGATTCATTTTAATTTTGATATATGTTAAAGATTTTCAATTATTTGATGATCTGTCCTTTTTTTTATAAAAATTTATTTAATTTCTTACTTATAATAATATATAAGTTTATATTTAATATATTATTTATTTATAATTATAATATTTTTATTTTATATTTTATGTGAATATTAACTTATATAAATGTTTACGTCAATTATGCAACTAAAACTTAAATTATTAAGAATCACAAGATTTTAATCCAAAATGTTATTGATGTAGTAAGTTTGGACTTAAGTCGTGTTTACTGTTAATATATCAAATTTATATAATAATAATTTATTTAATATATATTTAAATATTTAATTAATTAATCAATACATTACCTCTCTATCTATTCTTTTTTCTCTAATTATAAAAAAATAATTTATCTAATGTAAATATTTTAAAATATTAAATTACATTTTTGTTACCAAAGAAAGAAAAAGGAAAGAGGGGAAAAAGCGTAGTCCTTAAAACTTTTAGCGAGAGAGAATAATGATGTTTAATTTTTGTAGGCAAAAGTGCCCTCTAGATATGATGCAAAGATTTAAAAAAATCTTGTAACTTTGGAGGGTTTCGTCGTCTTTTTCCCAGTCTCGTGGGGTAAAGCCAAAGTCACTTCATGATTCTCTTCTTCCCCACCCCCCATAAGGCATCATCTCTACCTTTACTTTCCTATGGAATCTTGTTTCCTGATTCCTCCCATTCTTGTCAAGAATTTCGATCTTTGGCAATTTATCATTTTTAATTGCCCATTCCAACCATCACCACCTTTGATTTTTTACAATATAATAACATAAATTCACTACAAATTCAGTACCATTTGATAATTTTTTGTTTACTCGACTTTAAAAACGTAACTTGATATCATAGTTTTATAATTATTTTAATTGATACGTTATATATTATGTAAACATAAATGTTAATTGATATTAAATCCGTCGGTGATAGTTTTTAATTAAAATTTGGTGTAATAAGACTTTGAATCTCATGGAAGACAAGCATCTATGGTCAAAGTTAAAGAATCTTGAAGAAAGATGTGGCAAAATTACGTTAATAATTTGATAATGGGTGATTAATCAAAGCAAAATGGACCACAAGAGCGAGGTTAGGGATTGCAATTATGGGGCAGGAGGGGGCAAAGTGTTTGAGAGTGCATAAAAGGGGCAATTTGTCTGGGATTGATGAGTGAGCAACAATTAAACAAATTGTATAAAGGTTGATTATCAAGTTCCTATTAAGGAAACACCTCTGACTTTGGCTACTAATTAGTTTTAGTCAATCAGGTTTTGAGTGTTGGGACACCCCATTTTCAATTCCTTCTCAAAAATCTAACACTATTTCGTGCATATATATATATATATATATTGGTTAGTATCGCTTTCTAATCTTTTACAAGAAAATGAATCGAGTCTAGGTCGGGTCACGTCAGATCAGGTCGATGTTCTTTTATTTTCTTAAGTTTGCTTACAACCAAATCATCAAAGATTTGGCATGCTGTAGTTCTATTTTCTTTCATTTCCCTTAAACATTGTAATAATAAGTATTTGTTTAAAAAAAAAAGAGGAAAAAAGAACAAAAACCCAAAGTCCAAAACCCTTTTTGGGGCCAAAGGCCCAATGCCCATACCCATTTTTGCTGTGGACTACTACATGGTTCAGCCTATTGATCCAAGAACATGACTTTCCATCAAATTGGGTCATGTTCTTCGGAAATGCAATGTCAAGAACCAAACTTGGAAGAAATTTCAAAAGGGGAAGCTTACATTTTTTTGCATTTGCATTTTGGAAAGATGTTCCTTTTGTTTTTTTTTTTTTTTGGTATTTCGACTTAGCTTGCAAGGCAGACAAGAACAGGGAACACACTAGGGACTTCCATAAGAACAGAAATGAAGCAAACTTAAAGGAACATTTTCTATACACCAGCCAGCTCAAACTATTCCCACAATCATTGTTAATTGTTGTCACAATCGAGCATATCAATTTTCTTTTTTAGTTTTGGAATAAAGTGAGGATTGGGTGCTTCAGGTTGAGCATATTTACAAGGTATATGCACCCCGTCTTGCTTCTTTTTCCTTGGTCTCTTCAGGGAGAAATTCTGCTGCCATGGTAAAAGCTCCTGGCCTGAAACAGAGCAGAACCTGGAAATGTAAATTTCGCTGCTTCTTTTTGGGTTCACAAGAGACCAAGCTCTTGTTATCTACCACTTGCCAATCTTTTTTAAACTTTTGGATGATGAAGTGCATGTAACATCGTAAATCACATGAATTTGGAAACCAGCCTGGGGAAATATCTTGTCAAAGAAAGGAAAATTAGCAATTCCTGATAATCATTGAAACAAGGAAATTTACAGGAAAGGGGGATGGAAACAGGGAGATTTTCCATGATGAAACCGATGATCGGGTATTGTCCAATTTGGAGGTGGAGCTGTGAAATCACTTTGGATCGGATGGCGAAGTGTGTGCCTCGTAGGAACTCATGGTTTAACCACATGGACCAGCCACTTGTATGACTTTTGGGTGAAAAATATGTTGGAGTAGGAGCATTATCTTTAAAGGATGGGCATATATCCCACCCAAAGTTGACATGCATTTGCAAGGCTTAATGCATGATCAAGAAACGAAAAACTTTGCCACTGTGGCCATTTAGCATTAATGATGCAAATGGAAAGAGGGAACAGAGACAGAAACGGAAACATAGGGAGTTGGATTCGCTCGAGGAAAAAGCTGTGTCTGTCTATCTATCTATCTCTTTCGCGTTCTCTCTCTATTCTTCTCAAAAGTCTTACTTTCGAACCGAGCAATCACGAGCTACCCCTGAGAACTCTGCTTTGAATTCATCTTTCTGCTGCTAAACGACCTAATCTCCTGGTCCTATTAGAAAGAAGCCGTGAAAATTTGCCCTCTCTTTACCTCTTCTCTCTGGAAAATCTGCATTTCCATGAATTTGCTCTTCATTTGAACCTTTTTTCCATGAAAACATGAAACCGTACAATCACTTTCTCTACTTGTTATTCGTCTGTATTGATCTCATTGCGCTTCCATGAAATTCTCTTTGCTTCCATCTCGGCTTTCGACGATAAAGTCTGTGAAATGGAAACCTGTAGTTTGGTTCTTTGTCTCTGTTATCTGTGTCAAGGACTCGGAGGATTCTCTTTGATCTTGTCACTCTTTTGAGAAATTCATGAAAACCATTCCCTTTTTTCCACCCTTCTACC